TATAAAAGAGATAATGCAAAGTGGAGTCTAAGGCTAGAATTCTGCAAAATAAATAACCTTATAATTAAAATATATAGTAAGTTATTTTAGTGGGGGAGGTTATAGCTCAGTGGTATAGTGTATACTTGGCATGCATGAGGTCTTGGGTTTAATCTAAAACCAGTACCTCTTGTTAAAAAAATAAATAAAATTAAAAAATATATATATATATATATAATAAGTTATTTTAATTATCTGTATTGTAGGTAGAAATGTTTTAGAACTAGAGCAGTAGTTCTCAACTAGGAGCGGTTTTGTCCCCTAGGGGACATTTTTGGTTGTCATAGCTCGTAGAGTGCTACTGGCATCTCGTGGGTAGAGGACAAAGATGCTGCTCAACTACAGTGATGTAGGAGTCCCCCAACACCACCCTACCCTCCTAGCAAAAAATTATTCGGCCAAAAATTTTAATAGTGCTGAGGTGGAGAAACTATGAACCAGAGGTGGTCAAATATAAAACTTCAGTTCTCTCCTTTATGTGTTCAGATGGTCTTAAGTTTTTAAGGTAATATTAGAAGTGTCACTGTGTCTTTCAGAAATGATGGATTTGTTTACAGTGACAACTGTCTACACAAGTATTTTTTCCCCAAAACCCATGAGTAATGATAAACTTGGATTCTGTAGTAACTAAGATTATTATAATAATTCCTTATCTAAGGCATAGCTTTTATGAAATCGTTAGAACAGAACTAAAATCTTTATGGATAATTAAACATTTTATACTCAACATATCTGATGAGTTAACTACATTTTTTTAGGCTAAAGAAAAAAAGAAGAAAATCAACTTCTTCTTCATCAAGTGTTTCTTCTGCTGATGAATCAGTTTCTTCTTCATCATCCTCTTCCTCTTCTGGTCACAAAAGGCATAAGAAACATAAGAGGAACCGCTCAGAGTCTTCTCGAAGTTCCAAAAGGCATTCAGCTAAGTCATCCTCAAATCAGGTAGATCAGAATAAGAAAGATGAGTGCTTCCCCGTCCCAGCCAATACTTCAGCATCTTTTCTTAACCAAAAACAAGAAGTGGAAAAACTACTGGAAAAGCAGGATAGGTTACCATATCAAAAGAAACAGGTAAAAGAGAAAGATAGATGCCCTCTCTCTTCATCTTCAGTTGAAATTCCGGATGATTTTGGAGGTAGGTCTGAAGATCCAAGAGATTTCTATAATAGCTCTAAAACTCAGGCAGGTAGTAGCAAAACAGAAAAGCCATATAAATCCGAAAGACATTTTTCTAGTAGAAGAGATTCCTCAGAGTCCTATAGGAATTCAGAGGACAAGATGAAAATTTATGGTTACAGAAGATTTGAAAAAGAGATAGAAGGAAGAAAAGAGCACTATAGAAGGTGGGAGCCTGGTTCCATGAGATGTTCCACTTCACCAGCAAGCTCGGACTACTCTTGGAAGTCAGTTGAAAAATATAAAAAATACACTTACACTGGATCACGTGACTTCAGTAGACATGAGCAAAGATATCAACTAAATAAAAATCAAGGAGAATATGAAAGAGAAGGTAATTATGAGGAGGATAAAACAGAGGTTCCAGAAGAGGGACTAAATAGCAAACAGCATTCAGAAAGTGGAGTTAAAAAAAATTTACCTCAAAATTTACTCAATATATTTAATCAGATAGCTGCATTTGAGAAAGAAAAAGGAAATAAGCCAAAAAATTAATATGCCAAGGGGATCAGCACCATTACACTAAAGGCTTTTAATAAAAATTTTGAGTCTTGTAGTTATAACAGTCTGGTGCAGAAGTCTCTGCTCCTAAGGTTATTTTATTTGTAGAGATTGCAGAAATCAGATGCCTTTTATAGCTATTCTCAACGTATATTTGTTTCAGTTGTAGGTCCCCTTTTAACAGCTTGATTTTTTAGGCTTTTCATGAGTATGTTTATGTACAGTATTTCTTACTCAGATGATTTAAACTTCTTCACCTAAAGATAACTCTCAAAGTAGTGTTTCTTCATTATGTATGAGAATTTTGGGGGTCCACCTTATCCTGCTGTTTGAGAGAAAATTAAATTTGTGCATTGAACACTTGGATCGTTTTTATCAAAATTACTTCATTCTCCTGTCAAATTAAAATCCCTTGGCTTTTAAAAGATACATTTGAATATTTCTTAAGTACCATTTTATAGTCTTTTGTTTAAATATTAAGTTTTTTGCATAACTTTAAAATAGTAGACAGGTTGTCTGTCTTGTCTAATTGACCTCTAAAGCCTCATTTAATTCAAATGGTTTGTGTACCGACTGTTTAACAAGTTTCTTAGGAATAAAGCCATGAAAGTTGAATAGGGGCCCATTTTGCTCATTTTTCTTTTTCTTCTCCCTTCTTACTAGCAGTATAGCCCTAAAAAATTTCTTTAACTATTGGCAAGACCCTAAGAGACTACATTCCAGGCAAGAATAAATCGGAGTAGGAAAGAATCCTGTTAGCAAAAACAGCTAGAGAAGCACACTATAAACCTGCTTTTCCACTAAGGGATAGGAAACCAGAAAACTGTCCTAATATTGCTCATGTCCATTTGGGAAGGCACTGGGATGTTTTTAAATAGCCTAGAGCTGCCCTGCATTTCCGCTTTTCTTCCTTAACACCTCTCCCCTGATGCCTCCTTTCTCAGAGTCTGAATAAATTACTAGCTGACAGAGCCACGTTTTGCTCAGGATAAATTTCAGCAAGTAGAGCTGAAGAAGAAAGGAACTTGTATCATACGGATCTTCCCCAGATTATTGAAAACAGTATAGATAGGGATAGAGAGAGAGAAAAATAGAAGTCATAGGTGTTTACACTTGGTTTTAGAATCTTTCCAACTCATGATGACACTGGATGGGTGGGTTGGGGGATATGAGTATCCATCTACAAAGGTCTAAGTGAGAGATTGTTAGAGGAAGAAGACACTTAGTCCTTGTTCTGTCTTGCAGTTCTTGCCAACAGTAAAATACCAAAACTTTTAAGTGCAACTGGATGTGTACTATTTGAAACCTTTAGACTTCAGTGATGGGAGCCTAATAAAAAAGCTAAAATTTGTTTTGCAATGGAACAGAAAAAGAAATTCTGGTCAAAAACAGTAGATGATAGCAGTAGAAATCAGTCACTTGGGCATCAGTCTTTGCACCAACAAATTGATCTGAAGGGAATCTCCAGTTCTTTCTGTGTATTAATAGCTCTGGTATCATCCCAACCTAGTCCTACATAGTGGTGTTTTTAAAGAGTGGAAACTGTCTCTTGACATACCCCTTGACCTTTAGGAATTTGTAGTACAGCTTCAGAATTTTACATACACTTTAATAAAATCTCTGAGCATCACTGTCAACCAGCATTGTCATTTTCCAAAGCATCTTTGTGGTTTACTGTTAGATTCAGGTACAAAAAAATTAGGATAGTAACTTACATAACAGCCTGCCTAAATTTAGAAATTGCATCTTCCCCAAAGCTGCTTTCCCAGGACATATTAATCGTAAACATAAAAGAAACCCATCACAGAAAAAAAAGGGGGGTAGGGATTTACTTATTAAGAATCCCTACTGGTATCTTAAGCAATTTTTTTTCCCCTTAACATCATTATGTCTATAGTTTGTACATACCCAGGCTGTATCTTGGTTTCCATAAGTAGATGACTTTCTAACACAACAGGTGAATGTTAAGATGACTCCGCATTTGGAGATAACGGGGTTGATCCATTGTCTAACCATTTAACATTACACTGAGGTTGGAGATGTTACTTTAAGAGTTAAATGCAGGCTTGTATGCTGGCCTGAGAACCTAACCATTCCACAAATACTGTGCTAGACTGGTTGGTGACTCAGTAATAGGTAGAAGTTACTGTGCAATTCTTACGTGTCAGGCCCTGTGCATTTTATATATAATACCTGATTATTTTAATAAACTTGATAGAGGTAACTCTTACTGTCTCTATATTATAAATGAGGAAGAAAGCATAGAGAAGTAACTTTCCCAAGGTCACAGAACTAGTAAGACATAATCCCTTCAGTGTTTCATAGATGCGTTAAATACAGTGTTTAATATTTCAACTTCCAAGTAGTTTACAAAGTACTGTAGGGTGGAAAATAAGAACTTTAGTGAACATTCAAAGTGACCATAAGATTAATCAATTTTTAGGTCTTATAAAATAAATCTCACTCATCAGAACAATGTTTTACCAAAAAAATTCAGCTTTTTACCCATCTTATTCATTGGACTTGGCCATGCCTTTTGCTGGCTATTTCTAAAAATAGTAATAATAAAATACTCAAATAATGATCAGGAGAAACAGGTTTACACCACTCCTGCCTTTCAGAAGGAATTGCAAATGACAGTTCTAAAGAATGACAGCTGTCATAACAAATATTTGTTCCCAAAGATTGAAAGAGACAGTACTTATTTAAGTACATAGATTCTGATACATCTATTTGAAAACCAATTTTATAACATAGTCATACTTCACACTCTGTTCCAAGAGTTCCAAGTGTTGGGCATATGTAATAAAAGTATTGACTAGAATAACTAATTCTTAATCTGGTTGTCTACCTTCACTGCAAATTAATGAAATTCCTATTGCAAGTCAAGTCACACCTAGCTGTCTTGAAGTTGTTTATTAAATCAGGGAAATCTTAAAAATACATTCTTGGCTGCATCTTGAGAGCAAAATCTTTGTGTAACTTCTTTCAAGATCAGTAGACTACTTTAGAAATTTAAGCTGCACTCATTGCTATATAGTGGTTCTCTTTCCTACCAATCATTTTCCTGCTGAGGGAAGATAATGCTATTTTTTGGCTAAGAATTTTTAAATTATGCTAAAAGAAGAAACAACAAATTTCTTCCCACAAAGAAAATATGTTTCTTTTAATAAAAGCTAACTTCAAGATCTTCTAGGGTAAAAGAGAATTTTAATAATAATATAAACTCTATATAGTACAATGACTCTTAGAAATTATTTTTAACAGTTTTATATTTTCCACTGGATAAAACTTTTGTCTGGTCATTTCACACCTCTAACACTATTTCAGTAGACCTCTATACCAATGTACGGCACCCAAAAGCATAGAGTGGGATATACTATTTTAAAATTATGAGATTTTTGTTTTTGCGTTTACAACTTGTTCAAAAAAGAGATTAAAATGTTTATTTGGTGCTTTTTTTGCTTTTACCATTACTGGAGCCACTGCTAGCACTAGTTGGTCTAGAAGTGCTGCCAATTAGTGGAGAGGCTGGGAAGTTCAGCTCTAATACTTTAATCGAAGTCTGAGAAGCAGAAGTACTTGTACTTTTAGATGACCTAGAATAAAACCAGAATTACTGAAAAGTTAATTCAAAATTTATATTTTAGCAGAAACCCCCTTATTAGTGGCAAAAGATGCCATAATCCCACAAGTAATTAAAGAATCAAAAAAGATATACTATTAATAATGCTAATAATAAATTTTAAAAGCATGACCATTAATAATATGAAGAAATTAGTTTAAAAAGGAAAAGAACGGTAACAAGGTTTCAAGCCAGTAGAAAAAACAGTTCAACATATTTCTATATGAAAAGTGCTTTCATTATAATCAATTTAAAGGTAGAATCATTAGGTATTAAAAGTTGGCAAAATTTATCAAACATAAAAGAACAAAAACGGGCATGGGAATTTGAGTGCCGGCAAGAGTGACTAAAATGATAGGTTATGTAATTTAAGCTGACGAGAAGAAAGTGAGGGGGCCTACTGATCGGATAGAGTGGTGGGTCCATTTGAAAAATACAACTAGCCATACAATTCTAAATGCTAAGTTTTTAAAATATATATATTTATATGAAAGTACTGGGATGTTCAAGTGGCTGCTCATCATGTTTACAAAGAAAGTGGGGTGTTTATGTTTTTAAACACTATCTTTTGGGAAGCCCCTTTGTGACATCTCTAACTTGGTAAATGTAGGAGATTGGAAATTTTAAAATTAGAATGATCATTAATAATTTTTATTTTGTTAAAGCACAAGGATGTTGACTAAATGTCTACCTGATTATAGAATTCTGGATAAAACTAAACTGCAGAAGTAAAGAATAATTTCCTTCTTAGCAAAATAAAGCATCATAAAAGTCTGACTACTTAAGATTTAACAATGGGTTTTAATCATAAAAGTCTTACTCTATATGTCTGTAAAGACAAGTTGCCCATTTATGGTTTAATAAATTTCCCCCTACTCAGGGTTGACCATGCTAGATGTAACCTCCAAAATTTCACCCTGCTTTATTCTACTGAAATAGCTGGGAGTCACAAAGCACTCTACACCAAAATGGAAATGATAACACCAGACAGAAGTCAGAAGGAAAGAGTCTGGCTCTGCTGGCTGTTTCCTGCGTATGTGACACTGACATAGGAAGGCAGGTAACGCAGAGGAGAGCACTGGCACTGGCAGATCCCACAGCTGTGGAAATGTGCAGGTGCTGGGTTCACTTAGGCTGGAAGCCATGAGAGTTGTATGGAAGGAGATGGGTTTTTTCGCCTTCCACTTACCTTGCTGATAACAGTGAAGTCTGTGAAGGAGATCTAGAGCTGTGACGACTGCCTTTAGTACTAGCTGTAGGTAGTTCTAAACCACTCTGGAAGAATATTCAATAGCAATCGTTAGTACCACTGCATTTTAGAGTATTTCTCATTAGATTTCACTTTATGATGAATGCCATAAATTTTTTATTTTCATTAAGTGTTTAAGAAATATTTTTATCTAGAAGGTATTCTTATTACCTGTTCAAAGTATGTTTGAAGGATAACTCCGATTTCAGCATTTTCTTCTGAGATATCAACTAACATTTCATCAATGACCTTATGAAGCTGTTTCACTTCACGAAGTTTAATGTCTTGTTCTTCCAGTGTTTCATCTTTTGTGTCTTTCAAAAGACGAATTTCCTTGGTGAGTTTAGCATACTGTTGGTCAATAGTAGTCAATTATTATACAAGCCTATTTTCCACAACTTAATATTTTTTAATGGATGAAGGAGGATTTGGGGTCATCATTTGGAACTCCAAAAAATATAAATATGACAGGTCAGTTTTGAAAAGTTATCAATACCTGTTTAGTTACTCTCTCTAATTTTGGCTTCTGCTCCTCAGTTTCTCTACTTAGTTGACGTACATAAGCTTGCTTCTCTGATAATTTTTCTTTAACATCATTTGTTAAATGCTCTATAACCGCTAAAGTATTTTCCATGCTCTGCAGAAAATAAAGTATTAACATACTTATTGGTTAGAATCAAATAACTTATAAATTGCCACTTAAGTATTCATTTAATTTTCATTTATTTTTGTATATAATGTACATTCTATTGGTTGATAAGTACAATGGTTTTATGGATTAAGTTTTGTATATAATTCCACTGGAAAGTATTTTTATGGTAATTAAGAGAAAAATAAACAATTCAAACAATGACTGTTGAAAGCATACAATTCTCAGATTCCCAATTCATACCTTTTCCTTCAACTTCATTACCAAAAAAGTCTAAATTTTTATATAGAACCTGCTTACAAAGCACATTGTTTTCTCTTTCAGTGATGTACTTTAGTAACTACTTTCTACTAAATTATTTATATCCTTCAAACTTTTTTGTTTTAAGGAACAATCTTTAAGGTGATCTTTAAGGATTTAAATGAAATAAAAGTTCATTAAATAAAGGTTAGTGGGTAGATCATAATTAGCTAGCTATAATTTATCAACTAATTAACAAGTAATTGTCACGGATCCAGTCTGTGCTTAGCCTTGGCATTTTAACTAATTTAGTTAATATTTTGATCTCTTGTTTTTTTCTCACTTAAATGAGACATCTCTTACTATCTACTTCTCTACAAAAGTGTCTTTGTACAAGAAAACAATAGAGTAATAATAACAGTAGTTAACTTTTACTAAGGGCTTATCATTAAATCCTATAGAATTTACCTGGATATCTTCCTGTAGTTCTCTGATTTGTCTTTGTTTGTATCTGTATTTTTCATCAACAGCTCTTTTTTGTTCTTCTAGTTGAATTTTTAGCTCATATTCATCACCTGGAGTTTAGAGAATTTTTACTTTAAATGTTTAACATGCTGTGAAGAAAGCAACCTTAAAGTCTTACATAAATTAAACCTTTAACATTTTTTGTTATGAAAGGTTAAACTCCTTATGTCTAACTGTTGAAAAACAGGGCATGAAATAACTATTCTTATTTTGTCAGCACAGAGCAGCCAATATGCTGCTATTTTCTTCAGATTTGAAATTAATTCCCCAGAGAAGTGATGTCATAGCACTAGAACTAATAATGGAAATAACACCTTAGCACTTATTTTACAGGAGGTGGGGGTGATCAGTTTTTCCGACTCAAACATGGTACATTTTTGTTTTCCTTGTCTCATAGTGTTCCTCTTTTTAAAATAAATAACTGTACAGCTTTCACTGCATGTATATTCAATTAGAAGTTTGAATAATTCCTACATACTAGATGGAGTCACTTTCCTAAAAGATTGTTTGTAATTGTGGTTGCAACTGTTCAGCACTTGCAAAGTGTTTCCTAGAGCATAGATTTCTTTTTCAGCTTTGTTGATCTTAGCATCCAAACTGTCACCTTCTCTTTGAAGTTCTTCTTTTTCTTGAGCAGCCTATAAAATACAGAATAGAACTGATTGATTAAAAGTATTTATCATGGGGGAGAATGTCTGTTTTCATGGCAAGAAATACTTAATTGACAACAGTACCAATTTGCCTTGGGGCCTTACATGCAGCACCAAGGACTTATTTCTTGCACTTGATTTGAGTAGAACAAATCCTCAAGGCCTTCCAAATATAGCATATAGATACAAAATGGTGATGGAAATGTAGTAACTAACCAAAGCTTACATGAAAACTCTCCAACAAAAATGACCAAAAAGTCAAGCAGGTATAAATTTTACTGGGAAGAAAAATAAGGTTAGCTAGAAGGGGATTTCAAAGTAAATATTAAATAAAAAGAATGTATGTTTCTGGCCTGAAAGAGGCTTGGCACACTTTCTCATTTTAAATCTTAGAAGTAAAAGAGGTGAGCAAGGAAAGTAAATACTTATCATTTCAAACCCAGGTATATTAGAAGCAGAGTTATTATGTGTGTTGTTAGAAGTAGTTATTAGAAGTAGGATCTCAACATCCTTAAGTAGAATTAGAGTGCTTGCTTCATTCGGACATACTAAAATGAACAATACAAAGAAGATTGCATGGCGCCTGTGCAAGAATGACATGCAAATTTATGAAGTGTCCTGTATCTTTAAAAGGAAAAATACTGCATGATTCCACTTCTATGCAGTATCTCAAGTAGTCTAATTTACAAAAACCAAAGTAGAATGGTGATTGCTAGGGGTTTCAGGGAGGGAGAAATGGGGAGTTAATGTTTAATGGGTATAGTTTGTTTTAAAAGATGAAAAAAGTTCTAGAGATGGATTTTGGTATTGATTGCACAACAATATGAATATAATTAATACCACTGAACTGTATGCTTAAAAGTTGTTAAAGCAGTAAATTTTCAGTATATTTTACCACATTTTAAAAATAGTTTTAATTAGAGAAAGATAATTGTGATAAACGTGGCTAGAAAAAATAAAGTGTAAAAACTGCTGAAAACCAATTCCTCAGTGAGTGGATATACTCAGTGACTTTCCAGCTTAACTGTGTCACTGGGCTAGGCCTTCTAGAGTTGTGCCAAAATAGTTCCAAAGAACTTCTCCAATTAAGGGTTTACAGGGTTAGCATGCATATATACTTAAAAGTGCCAAAACCCACTTTTTGTCAAAATCAACTAATAATTTCATTGGTTAATTTATTCAGTCTCAAGTATGTACATTTAAACCAGAATATGGTCACTGGGTAAGTTTTATTGGTAATGTTACAATTCTTAACATTTTCACTGTTCTTTGTTTTATTATGCTTCAAGATATATATTACACATATTTTTATAGCAAATAGCACATAATAAAAAAAGCTTAGCAAAAAAAAGTAAAGTCATTAGATAAATTATATCTAATTCCTTTGAGTCCAGAATTAGCAAACATTTCATTTGAAATATACTATAGTGAAAGAAAGAGTTAGAATGAATCAAAACAGCTAGGTTTTAGTTGTGGATTTCCTATGAGTGAGTTGAACAACATTAAATGATACACTTTCCTACTCCAAGTTCAGTTTACTTGTCAAATGAAGGGGTTGAATTTGTTCATTTATACAAATTCCTGATTTAATTCCATATATACCTTAAATTTCTAAATCTCTATGATCCCATTTGCCTCAAAATCAGAAATTATGTAATATTTACCTTTTATCTTAGATTAGAAAAGCTGATATTTGGAAGACATTTTTACTTACATTTTTTAAATCAACATTTTAAAGAATTTTCTAGTAGTTCCATTGGATGGTTTCATTCAGTGGTGATCAGAATTGGACCATTTCCTTTAAAGACAAGGGAACTTGGAAATGGGTAAAAGGAAATATAAAACCATGTGTGCCACATAGACAAGAGGCCAGTGCAGGACCAAAAATGAGGACTGTGTGTTGACCTGCTTCCTCACAAAAAATATAAGAAGTCCCAACCCCCAGGACCTCAGAATGTGATCTTATTTGGAAATAGGGGTTTTGTAGATGTAATTAAGTTACAATGACATAATTAGGGAGGCCTTGATCCAATATGATTGGTGTCTTATAAAAATGGTAAATTTGGACAGACACGGACATACTTTGAGGGAAGACTGAAGGGACAAAGGGATTATGCCACATGAAGATGAACGTAGAGATCATGGTGTTGCTGTTGCTTCCATAAACTAAGGAACACCAAAGATGGCAAGCAAACCACCAAAAGTTAGGAGAGAAGCATAGAACAGACTGTCCCTCACAGCCTTCAGAAAGAACCAATTCTGGTGACACTCTCATCTTGGATTTCCAGCCTCTAGAACTGTGAGACAATAAATTTCTATAGTTTAAGCTACCTAGCTTGTGATATTTTGTTATAGCAGCCCTAGCAAACTAAACAAGGGGTCAGCAAACTGTATGTAAAGGGTGAGACAGTATTGTAGGCCTTATGGGCCATTCAGTCTCTGTAAAAACTACTCATACTTAATACCATTGTTATTGTAGCATGAAAGCAGCCACAGACATAGGTAAGTGAATGAGTTTATGTATTGTGTGTTCCAATGCTTATTTACAAAACAGCATTGTGCAGCATTTAGCCCAGAGCCCATAGTTTGCTTACTTCTGAAATACAGTATGCAATAAATAAAACAATTGTTAGCACGGTGACTGAATTCCTCTTCCCCAGTTATTATATATATATATATACACACACACACACACATATGTATATATATATAAGGAAACATTACCTTTGGGAGGAATGTAAAGGATCTAAGGAAAGGAAAGGAGCTTAAATTGACTAAATTTACATCCTGAGTCTACCACATTCAGAAACAGAAATGACGGTTAGCTTCTAATTGGCAAGTTCAAGTTTTTCCTAGCAGTGAAACTGCTGAGGTCTTACTTTTAAAAAGTTAAAAAAAAATTATGCTTATACAAATATAAAATGAACATGTCAAAGATTTTGTTCAATTCATTAATGAAGTAAACCATGAAATTTTGACAAGTTCAAAAGGAGAATTGCATAAATATATATATATACACATACACACACACACAGAGTCAAAAATTCTGAAATAAGTTTGTTTATATTTACAGATACAAAACTGGCTAATATCTTTTAGGGCAATAAAATACAATGTTTAGGTTATCTTTCCTACAAGCATAAGTCAATTGTATTTATATTGGCCAAATCCATTTGCATTGTTATGGACGAGAATAATACACATGACCATCAATTTTCTCTATAACATCTATCCCAATATAAGGTGTGCTAATCTACACATAATAGGAATCTGAGAAGGAGAAGAAAGAGAAAAGGGGACTGAAAAGGTATCTTAAGAAATTATGGCTGAAAACTTCCCAAACCTAAAGAAGGAAACAGATATCCAAATACAGGAAGCAGAGAGTCCCAAACAAGATGAACCCAAACAGACCTACATCAAGACATATAATTAAAATGGCAAAAGTTAAAAAAGATTCTAAAGGCAACAAAATAAGAAATGAAAGAGGATCAATAACAACTGATACTGCAGAAATACAAAAAAAAACCTCGTAAGAAAATACTATGAACAATTTTATGCCAATAAACTGGACAACCTAGAAGAAATGGACAAGTTTCTAGAAACATACAACCTGCTAAAATCGAGTCAAGAAGAAACAAAATTTGAACAGACTGATCATAAGAAGCAAAACAGAATCTGTATCTATAAATACATACATACATACATACATACACACACACATACATACATACATACACTCCCTGAAAACAAAAGTCCAAGACCAGATGGCTTCAGTGGGGTATTCTACCAAACCTACAAGAACTTATACCTATTCTTTTCAAACTCTTCCAAAAGACTGAAGAGGAGGGAACACTCCCAAGTCATTCTATGAAGTCAACATTACCCTGATACCAAAACCAGACAAAGATACTACAAAAAAAAAAAAGATAATTACAGGGCACTACCTTTAATGAATATAGATGCAAAAATCCTCAACAGAACATTAGCAAACCAAAACCAACAACATATAATAAGATCATATACCATGATCAAGTTGGATTCACTCCAGGGTCACAAGGATGGTTCAACATATGCAGATCAATCAGTGTGATACACCACATCAACAAAAAAAAAGAAAAAAAACCACATGATCATCTCAATAGATGCAGAAAAAGCATGTGATAAAATTCAACATCCATTCATGATAAAAATGCTCACCAAAGTGGTTATAGAGGGAACATAGCTCAACAAAAGCCATTTATGACAAACCCACAGCTAACATAATATTCAACAGTGACAAGCTGAATGCTTTCCCCCTAAATTCCGGAACAAGACAAGGATGCCCATTCTCACCACTTTTATTCAACATTGTATTGGAAGTTTTAACCACAGCAATCAGGCTAGAAAAAGAAAAAGGATCCAAATTGGAAGGGAAGAGGTAAAATTGTCATCATATGCAGATGACATGATACTCTATACAGAAAACCATAAAGACTCCATACAAAAACTATTAGATCTGATAAGTGAATTTAGCAAGGTAGCAGGATACAAGATTAATATACAGAAATTAGTTTTATTTCTTTAAACTAACAATGAAATGTCAGAAAAGGAAAGTAAAGAAACAATCCAGTTTAAAATCACATCAAAAAAAAAAAAAAAAAGAAGATACCTAAGAATAAACCTAACCAAGGAGGTGAAAGACTTATATGCTGAGAACTATAAAACACTGAAAAAGGAAACTGAAGATAATTCAAAGAAATGGAAAGATATCCCATGCTCTTGCATTGGAAGAATTAATAGTGTTAAAATGGCCATACTACCCAAAGCAATCTACAGATTTAATGTGATCCCTATCAAATTACCCATAACATTTTTCTACAGAAGTAGAACAAATAATCCTAAAATTTACATGGACTCACAGAAGACCCAGAATTGCCAAAACATCCTGAGGAAAAGGAAAAAAGCTGGAGGCATAACCCTCCCAGACTTCAGACTGACTATACAACAAAGCTACAGTAATCAAAACAGCATGGTATTGACACAAAAATACAGATATGTAGATCAATGGAATAGAATAGCCCAGAAATAAACCCAAACACCTATGGCCAATTAATCTTCAGCAAAGGAGGCAAGAATATACGATGGAGAAAAGACAGTCTCTTCAGCAAGTGGTGTTGGGAAAGCTGGACAGCTGCATGTAAATCAATTAAGTTAGAACACTCCCTCGCACCATACACAAAAATAAACTCAAAATGGTTTAAAGACTTAAATATAAGACCTAACACCATTAAACTCATAGAAGAGAACATAGGCAAAACATTCTCTGACATAAATAATAGCAATATTTTTTACATCAGTCTCCCAAGGCAAAAGAAATAAAAGCAAAGATAAAACAAATGGGACCTAATCAAACTTACAAGCTTTTGCACAGCGAAGGAAACCATAAACCAAATGAAAAGACAACCTATAGAATGGGAGAAAATATTTGCAAACAGTGTGACTGACGGCTTAATTTCCAAAATATACAAACAGCTCAAACAACTCAATATCAAAAAACAACAAACCAATCAAAAAATGGACAAAAGACCTAAATAGACATTTCTCCAAAGAAGACTACAGATAAACCAGCAGGCATGTGAAAAGACGTTCAACATCGCTAATTATTAGAGAAATGCAAATCAAAACCACAATGAGGTATCACCTCACATCAGTCAGTCAGAATGGCCATCATCAAAAAGTCTACATATAACAACACAGAGAATATAGCCAATATTTTATAATAACTGTAAATGACAATTAACACTTAAAAATTCAATAAAAATTTTGAAAATTAAAAAAAAATTTAAGTCTACAAATAATAAATTCTGGAGTGTCTGGAAAAAAGGGAACCCTCCTACACTGTTGTGGGAATGTAAATTGGTGCAGCCATTATTGAAAACAGTATGTACATTCCTTAAAAAACTACAAATAGGGTTACCATATGATCCAGCAATCCCCCTCCTGAGTATATATCCAGATAAAACTATAACTTGAAAAGATACATGCACTCCAATGTTCACAGCAGCACTATTTACAATAGCCAAAACATGGAAGAAACCTAACTGTCCAACAACAGATGAATGGATAAAGAAGATGTGAGATATATGTATCATATATATATATGTATATGGCCATAAAAAAGAATAAAATAATGCCATTGCAGCAACATGGATGGACCTAGAAATTATCATACTAAGTGAAGTAAGTCAGACAGAGAAAGACATATACAGTATCACTTTATATGTGAAGCCTAAAAAATAATACAAATGAAATTGTTTACAAAACAGAAAAGTTTGTTTTCACAGACACAGAAAACAAAATTACGGTTACTAAAGGGGAAAGAGTGGAGGAGGGATAAATTAGGAGTATAGGATTAACAGACATACACTGCTGTATATAAAATAGATAAACAATAAGAATTTACTGTATAACAGAGGGACTGTATTCAATATCTTATAACTTATAATGGAAAAGAATCTGAAAATTTCAGAATATATACATATAAAACCAAACCATGTTGTTGTACACCTGAAACTAACCAATATTGTTTATCAACTATACTTTAATTTTTTTAAATTAATATCTATCCCTCTACAGAGTTGTAAAGTATGTTAGTCAATAGAAAATCAATCAGAGGTGTGCACTTCTGTAGAATCAGGCAATCCCTGGAAGGCCCACTAGAAAATGCCAAGTCTTTAGTGTCACCATGCAGTGGCATCATTGCAAACGCACTGATTGTTTTTGCCCATTTTCAGGCCATGGATAATTTTTCTCAACGTAAACCAGACTGAGTTTAGTTATAAAGAAAAGTTTCATTTTTATACAACTGGCACATGTGAAGTGATATGGGTAAAATATTTAAATATGCCACACAACAAAAAATGCGAATAACCGTGTGGCAAGCTGTGGATCCTGGAGAAGATGCAATGTGAAGTGAGGCATCAGGAAATTGAGACGGGCAACTGACAGCCTTGATTAATTCCACATATTCCTGATACTGGTACAGAAGGAATACTCTTCCTCATAAAATTTGCCTGTCTTCCTGAGAAGTGAATTCTTCATCATCATCATTACCATGACAGCAAAAACAATAATGATAACTAACAGTTATTGAGGGCTCCTTTTGTTCCAGGTACTGTTTTAAAGGCTTTACATATATTTTGTCCCTTCTAACAACAAAAATAACAATATTATCCTAATTTTGCAAGTGAGAAAACTAAAGCCTCAAATAGCTAAATAACTTATTCAAGGTCACCTGCCTAATCACTGATAGAGCCAAGGCATGGGCAAAGACACTCTAACACCAGTGCTTTTATGTAACTCATCAGATCCCTTGTTGGTAGCGAAAGTTAACTGGAACTGCAACATCTGTCTACTTCCCAGCTTAACAGACTCGAACCTACCACTCACCTCTTGGGAACATTCAAAACCTGAGAGGAGGAAAGGCCTGTTAATACTGGGCAGAAGCATGAAGTACCAGAGACTGATGAGTTATAAGAAGGGTTTGAGAGCTGGGACTCATTTCTCATACTTGAGTTAGGTGGAATTTCCTGAGGCAAAGCAGCAGAGTGTGCAGAATGTGTTTGGGGCATCCTTAAAGAAGGACTACAGAAGAAAACTTGGAAAATTAAGTAGAAGTCAAAGGGAAGGCACATCCACAAGGGCCATCCTCAAAAAGTGTGAACTGGGGACCTCCTTCTCACTCCTATCCATGTATGATACAGGAAAAATGAGTTAAAGTTAAAATTCCCATTCCTTCTTGGTAGTTTTGAGTAACTTCCCAGACCTCTCTGTAAAGGAAATCACACCTGTTCAGGGTATTTTCTACATGGGAAAGATGAAGATAGCAATAGTCAGGAAGGAAAATGCATCCAATTCCTGATCACTTCTAAACTGCCCCTTAAATTTATGAGGTAAAGATAACTATGAGATGGCAGACAACTCTCAGAACATCAGAGCAGATTCACCAGATCTGTTTGTCTTCCATCCAATATGAAGGCAAAGGAACAACCCCTTCCTCTCTGGACATCTGCCACACACAGCAATGGTAAACTGGGGTATAAGAGTCAGTGGGGCAGCTCCAGGCGACGATAAAGTCTAGGGTGTGGTCATACAAATGGGTGGCAGTTAAGTAAAGCTCCGAGCCCGAGGTGTTGAACAGGTTGTCACATGCATATTAGACAGCCAGAGTGGCAGCAGGTCTTAAGAGTAAAAGAGGTTATGACCCTTGAGTAAATGACAGAAAACAACATCACACAAATGACAATCCAAAAAAGAAAAAAGAAAAAACAACAGTGGTCCAGACCTCTCTTTGACCTAATGGATGTGTATAAAACTAATATTGCTTTAGTACCTCCATCTAGCAACTGATGTTTTCTGTCCCTAATCAAGTTCAGTAACTACTAGAGTGCTATAAAATTTGAAATTTCACAGCAAAAAAAAATTGCCATTTTGGTTGCTAACAAAGAGCTAAGAAAGAAAGGACACTTCATTTTATCGCAAGTATAAATCAAGATTACCTTTATTACATAATAGGCCTGTGTTTTCTCCTCTTCTCCTTCAGGAGGCAGCATAACAACAGTAAGGATTTCGTATCTGTTCTTCAGCTTATCAATTTTACTTAGCCGCTCATGAAACTCAGTGCTAGTAGGAAAACAAAAAGAAAGGGAAAACACTGGAAAACAAATAGCATACTTTATTCAAAAATAGACTATACTGTTTTTGCTAGTTACTTTTTCCCTTTTATCACAGTAAATTTATATTTTTTGTTTCAAACTTATTTTATTATAATACTAATAACACTAATATATGCATAGCAATGCAGAGAATGACTCATCTGTGTGCTACAACCTCATGAAAGGGAGCCTTCCAACCATGGTCAAAAGAAATCTTAAACCTACCAGTTTTCTACTCCTACATAAAGCTGATGGTAAAATACATTAAGTATCAGAGTTACAGCTTTGCTTGTTTTAAAGTATTATCGTTGTTTCATCAGAAAGTATTTATTCATCCTTTATGTGATTGTAAACAACAAGGCTTGTAGACTTCCAGCTTTAAGACGGTGGACTAAGCACAAGCATAACTCTCCTCCTTCCTAAAATGGAAATGATTAAAAGAAAAAAAAAAAACCCCACCACAGCTCTGGGAACAAGAAAGACAATTTTTTTTTCATGAATTCATGAAAAAATGGAAAGCAAATACAATATGATTGACAGGAGAAAAAATGGATACACACACTGAAGATTAATATAGAAATAAAGGACACTTCTTCCCAAAGAAGTCTAGAGAAAATCCAAACTCAGGAATAAGAAAGAAAAAGAGCAAGAGTGATCTTTCAGGCTATTAATAAGGTAATTAATAAAAGGATTGCCTACAAAACATCTGGGCCACTCTCAGCCCCTCAAAGTACACAGAAATATTAGCAGGAATTATTTCTGTTCCAATGATAATCTCCAAAATTACCAGAGTTCCTACAGTTGCACACTGAACCTGGAGAGAAAAGTTAAAAAGAACATGATGTAATTCTAGACCTCCACAATAGTGGAGGTTAATAAAAAAAAGGCAGTTCTAGTCAGGAATGAAAGTTTTCATTGCCCAAAATAAACTCCTTATGCTCCAGATAGACTACCCCAGAGCGCAGAGTCAGCCCTTCCAGTTAGGGGAGAGACCTGTTAGAAAAAGAGATCTACCTAATTGTTGAAGAAACCATATCAGCTAGCTATACCAATCATCATGGTTATTAATTAAGCATTTGTTAATAAATACAACAGAAAGCCAAAGGCTATCAGCATTTATGAAAAGCCCGCAGCATGAATAAAAAGAAAATGAATCAAAACAGAACAGACCCTAAGAGAAACAAAGATAATATATGAACAGAAAAGAACCTTCAGAGTATTCTAATTAGTATCATCTAAAAGATGAAAGAATATTGCACCCCAAAATAGTCATAAAACAAAAATGGGCCACTATGAAAAGAGAGAACCAATGAAAGAACAGAGTTCTTACAAATAATCTTCCCTTTTTAATCTAAAAGTAGTGAAGAATGTCAGGCACGGTGGCACTCCTGCAGTCCCAGTGACTCAGGAGGCTGAGGCAGGAGGACTGCTTAAGGCCAGGAGTTCTGGGCTGTCCTGCACTATGCCGATCAGGAGTCCCCACTAAGTTCAGCCTCAATATGTGACCTCCAGGGAGCAGGAGACCACCAGGTTGCCTCAGGAGGGGTGAACTGGCCCAGGTCAGAAACACAACAGGTCAAAAGAGTGAATCAATGATATACAGAGAGGGAGAAAGAGAAGGGCAGGGAATGGGGAGAAGACAGAAAGGAGGGGGATGGGGAGAGAGAGAGAATACCTTAAAAAATGAAATAAAAGGAATAAAAAAAAACAAGACAAAAATTTAAAAATCTGGAAGACAAATCTAAGAAGGCCAACACCCACTAAAAATGAGCAACACATGGGGAGAGTGGTGTGGAAAAAAAAATTAAAGAACTAAAATATTTTCCTGAGCTGAAGAAAGACTTGAATGAAATAACTGAAAGAGCTCACCAAACAAAAATGAGAAAGTATAAAACACCCAGACATATACATGGAAATTCTAAAATGCTCCCAAATAAAAACATTGTCCTAAAGCTTCCAGAAAGAAAACAAGGTTCCCTACAAAATCAGATGAATTAGTCTGGAATCAGACCTCTCATAAACAACACTTTAGTGTAGAAGAATATGAAACAATGGTTTCAAACTTCAACTCTAATTCAAATATGGGGTAGAATAAATATGTTTTAAACATTCAAGGACTCAAAAATTTCAGAAAACATCAGTCCTGGGAAAAAAATTACAAAATATACTCCAGAGAAATGAAATGAGAATCCAAGAAAATACTATGACAAAAGGTACATGAAAGGCAGCACTATATACAATAGCCAAAACATGGAAGCAATCTAAATGTCCATTGACAGATGACTTGATAAAGAAGCTGTGGTATATTGATACAATGGAATACTACTCAGCCATAAAAAGAATAAAATAATGCCATTTGCAGCAATATGGATGGACCTAGAGGTCATCATTCTAAGTGAAGCCACTAAGAGAAAGAAAAATACCCTATAGTATCACTCATATGTGAAATCCAAAAGAGAAAAAAAAAGACACTATGAACTCATCTACAAAACAGAAACAAACTCAGACATAGTAAACAATCTTGTGGTTGCCACGGAAAGGGGGCAGGAAAGGATAAATTTAGGAGTTTGAGATTTGCAAATGTTAGCCACTATACATAAAAAAAGATTTTAAAAATGTTTCTTCTGTATAGTACAGGGAACTATATTTAATATCTCATAATAACCTTTAATGGAAAAGAATATGAAAATGAATATATGTATGTATATGCATCCCTGGGACATTGTGCTGTACACCAGAAATTGACACATTGTAACTGACTACTTTAATAAAAAGAAATTTTTTTAAGATACATGAAAGAATATTAAAACAATAAACATGTAAAATGTGGGTAGGCTGAAATTATTGCTGGCAATGGGCTGTACAGTTTAATGCAAATTATAAGAAAGGAGTTCTTTTAAAAGTAGAGACATAATATTAAAAACAATAAATAATAACCTGAAACTATAATCATTGATTTCAACAATACATGAAGGATGGAGAGAAGAAATGCAGCAGTAAAAGATGCTAAAAGTCTTAATTCATTTAGGAAGGAAAAATAATAGGAACGACTTAATCTTCAGTATTCATAGAGAGATAGGAAGATTAGAGTTTCTTCTGAATTTAAGAATAAACAACCAGTAAAAATAAATAAATAAATAAATAAATTCTGCATCAAACTAAAAAAAAAAGAAACAACAAAATAATTAAAATTAAAATGTGTATCTACAAACAAAGGGGAAAAAAGTAAAACCAATGAAAGACAGGAAAGACAAAAAGAATACCTACCATATGATCCAGCTATTCCATTTCTAGGTATCTACCCAAGAAAAAAGAAAGCACGTGTCCATACCAAGAATATATATGTTCATAGCAGCTTTATCTGCAACAGCCCGAAACTACAAACAATTCAAATATTCATCAACAGATAAATGTATATATATATATATATATAGGCACAGACACATACAATGGAATATTACCACTTTGTGATAAAAAGCTGAGATCAGCAAACCATCCTACACCTGCCACTTGTTTTTATACAGCCTAGGGTAGGAGCAAAGAATGACTTTTACATGTTTTAATGTAAAATGGTTGAAAAATTAAGAGAAAATTTATATTTCATGAAACATAAAAATATATGAAGTTCTAACTTCAGTGTCCATAAAGTTTTACTGGAACACAGCCAACTCATTTATTTGCATATTGCCTAGGGCTGCTTACACTCCACAATGGCAGAGTTGAGTTGTTGCAACAGAGGCCATATGGCTCACAAAACCTATAATATTTACTATCGGCCCTTATAGAGAATTGTGTGGGTTACAGCTAAATAATACTTAGAAGAATTGTTTCAGCCTTCAAGGTTGAAAATTAATTATCTGTCTCAAGAAGTCAGAAAAAGAACATCAAAATAAACCCCCCAAAATAGAAGAAAAAATAGTAAACATGAGAGCGGCAGTTAGTAAAATAAAAAAAGAATTCACAATTTTAAAAAATCAGCAAGAGTTTATTTTTTTCAAATAAAATTAACTAACTACTGGCAAGACTTATGCCATCCAAAAAAAGAGTCACAAATAATCAGTATCAGGAATGAAAAGCTACAAACACTATAGCTATTAAACATATAATAAAATTATATTGTGAAAAACTTTACGGCAATAACTTCGAAAATTTAAGTGAAATGGAAAATTTTTCCTAGAGAAAAATATAATTTACTAAAACAGACTCAGGAAGAAATATAATATCTGCATTGTCCTATAACCAATAAATAAATTGAACCAACAGCTGAAAATCCTCAAAAAACTCCAGATTCCCAATGGCTTTACCAGTGAGGTATTTGAAAGTTTAAGAAAGATATAATTCTGCTCTTTTATAAACTTGTCCAGAGGATAGAAAAATAAGAAACACAAAAATAATTTTATAAAAGTAGACATAACCCTCATAACCTGAAAACTTGACAAGGGCAGGAGAGAAAGGAGAATTATAAACAGAGATACAAAAATTGCATAAAGATATTAGGAAACAAAATCTAGGCCTATACAAAATGTAATATGTGACAGACAGTTGTGTTTATTACAGGAATGTAAGTTTGTTTGAGCTTTGAAAAAGCAATCAATATATTCAATGATATTAACAGATTGAAGAAACTACATCATAACATCATAACATCATAACAATAAGTACAAAAAAGCATACAGTAAGTCAACATTCATTCTTGATTAAACAAATGAAAACAACCTCTTCCAGAAACTGACACAATATTGTAAACTGACTACATACTTCAATAAAGAATGCAAATTTAAAAAAAAAAAACCTCTTAACAAAGAATGAAAATACATGGGAGCTCCCTTAATATCATACAGAGTATCTCAAAAAACACCACGGTAAACTTGATACTTAACGATAAAACAATGAAAACTTTCCCTTTGAGATCAAGCACCTGCAAGATGAGGATACCTGCAATCACCACTGCTTTTCAACAGTGAACTGAAGGTTACATAACAAGGGCAATAAAGTGAGAAAAACAAAAGAGAAAAATTTAAAAGGAAGACACAAAACTGTTATTTGCCAAAAATGTCAGTGAAATACCTAGAAATTAGAATCTACAGATCAATTGTTAGAATTAGTAAGAGTTTAAGCAAGGTTGCTGGATACTTAATATACAGAAACCAACTGTATTTCTATATACCAGTAACAAACCAAAAATGAAATGTTATAAAAGAGATAACATTGACAGTAATTATAAAAAAACATGTAGCCAGAGATAAATCTTATAGAAGATATGCAAAATCTGTATGAAAAAACTGCTTCAATAAAGGCAGCTATTGGGTATCCATAAGGGAAAGCATGTTATTCGACCCTTACCACAAACCACACACAAAAATCAATTCCAATTAAAGATCTTAACATAAAAAAGGTAAATCCAAAGAATGAGGTAGGAGTTAGCTTAAAGAAAGAGAAAGGAAAAAGCATAGATTTGTGGATAAAATATTTCCTATGTATTATATTAAAAGCTTTTTCAAATGAGTAAGAAAAAGATGGACAAGCAAGGTGGTGGAGGTGGCAGCCAGCTCTTCTGATATTACCCTTACATTTTCAAAATGCTAAAGCAGAACTTTAACATTCTAATTAATACCTTATGTTTTGCCGTTCTTGGTCAACATATCGTATTTGTGATGCAAGCATTGTTTTGTGAACCTTAATTTCTTCAGTCCGTTCTTCCATAGCTGAGTATAATTGTTGCTTTCTTTTTTCCAGAGAAAGAACTTCTTCTGCCTTACTGTGAAGCATTTCTCGAGTATGTTTAACTTCAAGTTTTAAAAGATTGTCTTCTACCATCAGATCCTAACAATATAACAAAATCATCAGCTACTGATATAATCATTTGTGCACCTAAACCAAAATGTGTTTCTTTTTTATTGCTACAAAAGTGAAACCTGAAAATACAATTTCTTCCAATTTCTAAATATTAATTAGGGTTAAATTTAGATTGCTCCAAGTCATGACTCTGGTTTTTCTTTTCTTTTTATTATAAGAAAAGGGTTTACAGCTATTCCAACTCTTTTCTTATAAATTAAATTTTAAATTCAAGTTTTACTTAAAAAAAGTAAGAAGTTATTCCTAAAATTGAAACTTACAATATCCAGAATATATATAAAGGCCTATGGATGAGGATTTTTATATTCTAAACTAAATCATACAGAATAACGTGTAAATAAATTATTTTAAAACAACTCAGTCATGACTATTGATGCAAGAATACACAAATAGATCAATTTCCAGAAAAGAAAGCCTAGAAAAAATACTCCAGAATATAAGATTTTACTGTTTGAAAACAGCCTTTCAGTTGGAGAAAAGATTAGATCCCCACATCTCAAAAATAAACTCCAATAAAACAGATAAACAAGTTTCTACTGTATAGCACAGGGAACTATATTTAATATCTTGTAGTAACTTATAATGAAAAAAGATTATGAAAAACGAATTAATACATAATTCATGTACATGTATGACTGAAAAC